TTTCCTTCTAAAAATTAAAAAATCTATCAGGGTAATCTGTATATCGTCGGGATAGCCAATGTAAGCAACTATTCAAATTCCAATCAAAATTGTGTTATTAAGAATTGAAAAAAGATTCCCTTTGACTAAATTAAAATTGGACCTTAATTTTATAACTAATTTCAAATTTGAAACAACTGGGGCTTTAACAAAATTTAATAATATATTGTTTTCCTAATGTTTTTATAAGTATTATTCTCAAGAATGACACCAAGTTTTAAAATCTAATCTCTAAAATTTTTTCGCTTTCCTTGAAATAACATCCCTTTTAAGCTGTTTAGTAAAAATAAATGATTGAATCGGCACATTGGCTCGGTCAGATAATTTATTTAGGAACTCTAATTGTATTTTATCTGTGTAGCAAATATATTGAAAAATTTATTTACCTCCTACATCAATTTTATCAGGAGTTGAGTATAGAATAGATTTAGTAGATGCCTTTTCCTCATTCTAGTGTTGTTAAACGGCTCGATTTGAGCCGATTTTTAAAAACGGCTAACTCAATAATTTAGCCAGAAAAAATATTGTCTAAGCCTCTAAATCTCGTTAATAGATGTTCAAACCTTTGTGCCACCTATGAGCAAAATATTGCGGCTTGCATAATATTTTTCCTAATAAGCTGTTTTTAAAAGGCTCAAAATGAGCCGTTTAACAATAGTACCTCATTCATAATAAAATCTAAAAGAATACTCCCACTTGTTGCTAAAACAAAGACTTCTAACTCAGTTGGTGTTGGTTTAGTCATACATATTGCCGAAATTAAACTCAACATGAAAAGTCAATCTTGTTCATCAATTGATATAATATATTTCCTTCCTCCCTCTTTCCCTCTTTCCCTTTCTTCTGTCCTTCCTTCCTACCGTCCAGTGGCGTAGCTACGGGGGTGGTTTTCGGGTTTGGACCCCTCCCAGAACAAAAAATTATTTTTAGATTATACGTTCAAAAGACTTATAAGTGGTGACTTTATATCAAATAAATACCAATAATATTTATATTTTTCTGGTTTTGATGTTTGTGGAAGGATATTTTATTACTATTGAAATTATCTGAATAGTATTATTATAAAGTCATTGAGAATAAGCTACTAAATTATAAAACAAATTATTGATGCATTTAAAAATTATATTTATTATATATTATCGAAGATATGGTTATGATTTGTAAGATAAACCCGGCCGAAGACCGGGCAAAAGGGACGAAGGCCCGTTAAAGGGGGTCTGAGAGCGAAGCCCCCCAGGCTTTTATATGTATGGACCCCCTCTAAGAAAAATTCCTAGCTACGCCACTGCTTCCGTCCCTTCCCTTCCCTTCCCTTCCCTTCCCTTCCCTTCCCTTCCCTTCCCGAAGTTTTCTAATTTTGACATGCAATTGTCCATATTGTTTACTGGTAATAGGCATAACAAATTTAGGAGATTTTATTCATCAATTCATATTACAATAATATAAGAAATTTAAAATTTTTATTTTATTTAAAAATTATTTTCTTTACTGAAAATGTAATATATTTTCATCAGAGTTGTTAAAAGATACTTTTTAAATGGATCTAGATACAGATACATCGTCTAAAATAATATCTAGATACAGATATTTTAATCAAAAATCTATCTAGATACAGGTACAGATACCACATTTTTATATCTAGATACAGGATCTAGATACTTAACAACTCTGATTTTCATGCTTATATAGCTTGTAAATATCAATTTAATAACTTACATAAACGAAAAATCAATTTAATAATTTATATAAACAAAAAAATTAAAAGGTTAGTATTAAGTTAATAACGAAATAGAAATATATAAAAAAATTAATCAGGTCATCTCAATTCTACCCTCTAAGAAATGAACTCTACTCAGGTTCTACTTGTATGTGAATCTTATAAATTCATGATATAAACTTGATATCGCGCAGGCAACGCTTTATTTCTATTCGGCCTCTAACCGTCAGGTAGAGGGTTATTATCTTGGTCGATGACATTTCATCTTTTGCAAAAAGTAATCGATGGTGAAGTGTTCTTTGGAATGTTTGGTTCAGTGGTAATTCGGTTTCTTCATCATTTGGTTTGTTTGTAGCTTGTTATCCTGATCGTCTAATCATTCACTTGACCATCATCATTACATTAGCTTGTTCATCTCGTTATTTATTATCATTTGTATTTATTAATCATTTGAAATTATTATTATGATCAATTTATCTTGAATAAAATAATTTTGGAATAATTGAAATGATAATGGGATAAATAATTTATTGGAATCATTCATATAATATTAATCATAATTTGGATATAGAATCATAGAATATTTTGAATTGTAGCGTTTTATATAATAATTTTTTATTTATTATTAAATTTCAATTAATTTTATTTTTTAAATTTTAAATTTTACTCCCTTATTTTTCAATTTAAACAATTTATTCCTATCATAATTTATCTTCAAATTGTTCTTTATATTTTAAATTTTTTTATTAATTATAAAAGTTTATATTTTATTATTTTCTTTAATCTTTATTTCATTATTTTCTTTCAAATATTTCTTCAAATTTTATCATATAATTTATCTCTTTTAATTTATAAGAATCTATTTCAATTTGAATATTTGGTACTAATTCAATATTTACAAGTTTTTATTATTATGAGATTTATAATTATAATGATCATTTCTTTTATTGTAATATGTTTCTTTATGATATTTGTTATCGAATTTTCTATTTTCATAATGATTTTTATTATTAGATTTATTATTGATTTCTCTTATAATAATATATCTTTGTCACTAAAAAAATTATTATTATGATTATTTTTATAATTTTGACATTTAAAATTTTTATTAAGATAATTTTCTTTTATTTGGCCGATTTAAAATTACATAAACATTTTAATATAAACAATGCTTCCTCATTGAACTTTTCTCTCTCGGTACCATTGCTTTCATAGCAAAAATAAATCACCTGGTAAATTATGTATTAAGCTTAAACTATTTTTACTATCATAATATATTAAATAATCTTCTAATTTGTCTATGGACTTTGTTTTATTATTATGGTCCCATATTGGTTTATTCATATTTTAGAGATTTTATTATTAAAAATTTAAATTATTTTTCACCTTTTTATTTTTCATCATCTCTTACGTATTTTAGAATTAAATAAACATAACATTCCAGAATCTTCATCTAGTTTGACTATTATCCAGTAGCTAAAATCATATGTAAAATTTGTCTCTGAAAAATATTTTAAAAAAACCTCGGAAGTCGCTTTAATTCAATATTTATATTAACATTATTATTGGGAATATGTTTCTTATTTATTTATTTATTTACGATTTCCTCGAATATGTAGCGGAACTGCCACCATGAAGTTTTCTAAATTTATTATGCAATTGTCCATAATGTTTACTGGTAATAGGTATAACAAATTTAGGAGATTTTATTCATCAATTCAAATTACAATCATTCAAGAAATTTTATTTTATTTAAAAATTATTATTTTTACTGAAAATGTAATATATTTTCATGCTTATATACAGCGTCTACATGACAGGATTTTCACTGGATGCAAACCCCCTTCAAAAACCTTTGCCTACACCCCTAAAAAATTTCCGCCGCCTTCGACGGCGGTGTCTATTTATTATTATTTTTACCTATTTATTAATTAATACTCTTTTCAAAGAATTTATAAAGGATAACTTAAATTGATATATCTCTACTACCAACTGTCTATTTTATGAATATAAAGAATTTATTGTTAGATAATAAATTCAATTAAAACTTCCATTATTTACAATGAATTCATTATTCTGGCATTATGAGCTTGCTGAAATATCTAAACCTTTTAAATTATATTTAAAAGGATAGTTTATTTGGAAAACAATGTGTATGATTGTTTGCAATATATAGATTTGGTCGATGAATTGTATTATAATAATACTATAATAAAAGTATTAATTTTTACAGCAATAAATAATTTTGTCTTATTTCATCTCAAAATTTAAACCCCCCCCCCCCCCAAAAAAAAATTTTTTTTTTTTATCCTACCCCCATTAAAGCAGCTTACCCCATACCCCCTCAAAAAATAGGATGCAAACTGTTCCTACCCCTCCCGCTCATGTAGACGCTGCTTATATAGCTTGCAAAAATCAATTTATATAAACAAAAAATCAATTTAATAATTTGCATAAACGAAAAATCAATTTACTAATTTACTTAAACGAAAAATCAATTAAATAATTTATATAAAAAATCAATTTAAAGATTAGTATTAAGTTAATAAAGAAATAGAAATATATAAAAAAATTAATCAGATCATCTCAACACTTCCATTCCTTCCTACTTTTGTATTCCTTCCATTTCAGTTTTATTTTTAAAATATAACTGCTTTATTGTTTACATTTTTATGAGAGAGGCGGTTGTATGTTTGCTAAAGAGGACATTTCAATTGCTTAAGATGATGTCCACTTTACGAGAATAAGCAAATTTCTGAAAGTAGAAGCCCCCTCCCCACCATTATGATACATATGCAATGTGTTATCTTAAAAACGGTCTTAGAAAGAAGAGGTTGAATTTGCATGAATTATTAAATATTTTTTTAAGGGTATATTTTGAATTTATAGGTATTTATCAAAATAAAATTTTATTAAACTGCTCACTTACTATAAGAAATAATTAAAATAAATTTAAATTCGGTTATTAAAATAAATTTAAATTCAGTTATTAAAATTAATTTAAATTTCGTATGTTTAGCATATCTTCCTAGATAACATATGGATTCAAAAATATCGATTTTATTTTCAAATTTTTTGGATATCCATATTCCATACAATACTATATGTTATTTATAAGTCATTAATATTTAAAGGTTTTTATTTCAACCGCATAACAATAAAGAAAAATTTGGTTTATCTTGATATAAGATGAAAAATTGCCAATGATTTTTTTTACATTTATTAAATAAAAATAGAAGATTAGATTATCCAAATTTTATGCTATCCATTGCATTAATCGATATTCTTCTAACTATTTTAAATTTATAACATATAAAAAAATGTCCTGCTTAAATTTTATAACATAATAGTTGCAATATCAATTTTTCTTATCTTTACTATCTGTTAATTTTTTCTAAACTTGATCATAGCAAAATGGCTGATTTAGAAGCTGTATTGGCTGATGTAAGTTACCTTATGGCTATGGAAAAGAGTAAATCTACTCCAGCAGCCCGTGCAAGCAAAAAAATAATTCTTCCTGATGTTAGGTAAAGCTTATCTATTTATAATATAATTTTTTTATTATTGTGCAATATTCATTTTTTGATCTCTCTTTTAGTGTGAAAAGTATAATGCAAAAACATCTCGAGAAGATTGGGGAGCTTACCTTTGATAAAATATTTAATCAAAAATTAGGTATAAAAATAATAAATTATATATTTTTTCAATTATTTTTTTATTATCTTAATTTTTTTTAAAGGTCTAATAAAGATAAAATATGCTTTTTAGGTTGTTAAATCATAATGAAATATATTACTTTTATAATTTTACAGTTAGAGGCGTAAGGAGTTTTTAAATATTGGAGGGCTTAGGTTAGATTTTTAGTTATAAGATGGTGTGCTCATAAAAAAGATAGAAATTGGTATTTTTTTGAATAAATTTACTAGTGCTAATTTATTATGGGGAGTACTAAACACCCTGCCCCTCTCTGACTTCAATAGGTATTATATAAAAGAATGTACCTTTTTAAATGAGTAAAAATCAAGTTTAAAATATACTTAACATTCAATTTTCAGCTAAACATGGGTGAAACTATAAATTTTTGCTGGGGAGGGTGGTTCAAAATATTGTCTCTTTTCAACAGATTCCTTTTTTATCTTATTTTCCTTCATTAATAATACTAGATTTGTCATTTTTTTTGCAATTTATTATGATAAAATATAGGTAATTATAAGCAATATGTATATATACATATTTTTTGGTTGGGTAGGGTAAATTTGTGATAAGGTACCCAAATTCCCCCTTTCCCTCTATTATGGACCCACATCTATCAATTATTTTATTTTATGTAATACCTTTTTATTTTTTTTTAATCATATTTACTTATAAAAAAATTTAATGCAAGAAATTAAAATTATATTTCTATATATATATAAATGCATTACATAAGGATGTAAGAAATGCTAAACAAAATAGCAGGCTTAAAAATCATATAGCAACATTTTTAAAAACTAAAAAATTAATTTTCTATGAAAAAATAATTTAAAAGTTAATTTTTTAAACTCAATTTAACAAAATGAGCAAGCCAGCTATAAAATGATTATGTTAATTTCCTGACAAAATGTTGATATATTATACTCGATAATTTTTTAAATTATATTAGACTAATTATAGGTGACAAGTTTTTTTTTATAATAGGGTTGAATACTATTAGCTGTTATCAAGGAATCAAGAATCATAACTTGTAAAAGAAGGGGGGGATCTTTTTTGAAAATATGCATATTTACTATAACGCAGCTCAAAATTATTTTTATACAAACTCTTTTGACTAACTACTACACCAGTTTAATAATATATTCAATTTTAGAATATGAATTCAGGAATATTTAGTTAGAAACATAGATAATTAAATTTTACATTTAATTAAGTGTAGAAATGAAGATTAATTTAATTTAAATTCCCAATTAGTTCAGGGGATTTTTTTAAAATCATTCATTTAAAACAATTTTTTAGGTTTTAATTATTTTTTAAATAGAGCATCTAACTCATTAAATTTTCTAAAGCTTACTCCAACCATTTTTTGTGTTTATATTTTTAACAATAGTTGAAATCTAAACCAAAAAAGGGTTATGAAAAGTAGTAATATGGTGTGGTTCTTGTTCTTATAAATCTTCAAATAGGTTCTGGAATTGATATGGTTATAAATGTGTATATCTCGGAATTGCCACAAGATAAGCAGTAAATTTTTAATATATGATCATCTTGGAATGTTAACAAAACTTTAAAATAATTAATCAAACAAAAATATTTTTTAAAAAAAGACAGCGTCTAAATGAAATGAGCCGCCTATGTTTTAAATCGATATTTAACAAATTTTTGCCTAATCGATGCTGAAAAAATTGATGAGCCAATTTTGACGCCTCCTTATAATAATTTCGTATAGCAAGTTTTAATGTTATATCGATATTCCAAGATGTTTATGCATATAAAATTTGATGCCAATCTAGTGCCAATTCTATGATATGCACATTTATAAACAGGTAATTTCAATATTGGTAGTCCTAGTTGTGCCGTTCCTATATTTGCCCTTGTTTGAGGTTTCGGATTTGGATCTTATCAATTATAATTTGTAAACCTTAAAAATTTAATACTTAAAATCAAACGTTAACGAATTTTCATTACCCGCTTTTCTAATTTTTAGTTATAAATAAATTTAGTTGATGCCTGTGACATATAACAAGTTATGATTAAATTTTGCGCACTGCACGATTCATTTCTTTAATTTAATCTCATTAAAAGAATTCCAAATAATCACCCCTTTTCTCATCCTCTAAAAATGAATATACTTGCAATAAATATTTTAGCACAATTTTGTATAAATAAGATTTTTGCAAAGCCCGAATGGTCCAAAAGCCCCCAGGCTGGGAAAATTAAAAAAATAGAGCGAGCCGGAGAGGGCAATTTATATATAAAAAATCAGGCAAGGGTTCTTTAATCTGATTTTTCTTAAAATTATAGGCCAGCCCGGGCAATAAAATTTTGAAATATATTTTTTTAATTTTAACCTAATATTTTGATTAATACTATTTGAAAATAAATTACAATATGCTTATTTCTTTGTGTTTTAAGAGTTGTCTAACTAGAATAAAATCTAAAAATAATGTATTCACAAAAAATTGAAGCTTATTTATGATATGATTCAATTACAATTACAGATATCATACACAATTAATTTATAAAACGATTGTTGTAGAAATAGATAGCCATAGAGGAAAGATATAAGGGCCTTAATTGATACCGGGAACAAATTGATGTAGATATTAAAAATATGATGACCGAAAATGTACAAAAATATTTAACTGACCAAGGCTGGCTTTTCATAAATTTTAACTGACCGGGCCTGACTTTATAAAAAATTTAACACACATGGGATATAAAAAATAATCCTGTGATTGATCCTATATTTCATCAAATTATAACTGGTCGGGCTGGACAATTTGTGCAAAAAAAAATTCCTAACTGGCTCGGTTTTGATCTCTAATATATATATAATATAATATAACAAAAATTATATTTAAATACTTCCAAGGGTCATAAATTAATATTAAAATTTTGGTAATTTTTTAACGTTAAAATTTTATAAAAGTAAATGAATCAAACATTTAATAATAAATAATATATATATTATTAAATGGTAAGAAATTTATTAAAAGTTACTGGTTGCCAACTTAATATTTGGTCATGTAAAATTCCACCTAAAAAATAAAAATATCAATTGAAATTTTTCAATTTTTTTAAAATTTTATATACTAAATAGTTATGTAATACTTAATATTTTCGCCAGAAAAATATTGCCTAAGCCTCGAGATTTTGTTAATAGATGTTCAAACCTTTGTGCCATCTATGAGCAAAATCCTAAGGCTTGCGTAATATTTTCCTGGATAAAATATTGAATTAGCCTTTTTTTAAAAATCGGCTCAAAACGAGCCGTTTAACAACATTAGAAGGAAGGAAAGGAATGAAGATAAATTAGAAAGAAAATAAAAAATTTATCATTTTTACACTAGCCATAAATATATGGTTTTGATTCTAAAAATTTAAGAATTGCATTAACGCTAAACATAATATTAAACTGAAAAAAAATTATCTCGCTTCATCAACATACCAATTTCGGGAAATGTGTTAAATTAAATTACCGTAATTACTTAGATATGATAAAAATGACTGATATTTATTTATAAATGGTTTTTTTAACATACACTCTCAAATGCGACAAATTTAAAAGTAAATAAAAATATTGGTATTTTTAAAAGGATATGATAAAATTTATATTTTTCCTAGACTTAAAACGATTATAATAGGAGATTATATTATTGAAGCGAAGATAACTAAAATAAAGAGAGATAAGATAAAAGAAGAGAAAGAAAGAAAGGTTATATTACATACTCTCAATTATAAGGCGTTTTCCTAAGGCACGAGTTAATTTATTTAAAGTTAGCTATATTTTTATAAAACCCGAAATTGAGAGTTAGTAGTTTTCGGCTAAAAATTACCAACTATTCTAACAAAATAAGTCATATTTTTACCAATGAGATAGTCGTGATATAATGTTTTTCATCATTTTGATCTACTTCCATGCAACAATGTTTTTTAAAAAATTAAATTGATACTATATATTTTTGTATGCCGTTTAAAACGCAAGAAAAAAACCAAGAAACCTTTAAAATATTTTCCCATAAAATATGGCTTTAAGTTGCGTTAAAAACCTCGTCTTTTTTTTGGAAAGCTTCTAAATTTTTATTTTGGCAAAAATAATGTAGCCTATTACGGGAACGTTATTTTTTTAGATTAACGGATACATAGACCTATCAAGAATTTTCATAAGAAAGAGTCACTGTAAATTTTATTAGATATTTTTAGGTTCCCTCATTGAAAAATAATAATTTCGGTTTTACACTTTTTTTAAAACATTTTTCTTAAAAATTTCTATTATATTCATTATTTAAAATGTAATAAATTTTTTTTTCAAAAATATGATTTATAATAGTGTCTTAAACGGCTAACACTATATTTTAGCTAAAAAATATTACGCACACCTGGAGATTTTGCTCATAGATGGCAGAAAGGTTTGTACTAGAGATCTGCAAAATTAGGCCCGGCCCGAACGGGCTCGGGTCTAATTCTGTTTAAAACAATCGGGTTTGGGTCGGGCCTAATATTTTTTAAAAATTTCGGACCGGGTCGGGTCGGACCTTGGAAATTTTATTAAATATATCTAAATTTACCAATTTTATATTGAATTTTTTATGTAAAATAAAATTTTTTGATTTAATTTTGAAACAAAACGCTATATAACATGTCTTTTATTTTAAGTAATTATAAAAATTAATTTCAATATTTAAATAAATTCGGGCCGGGCCGGTAAATTTTTTTAAAATAAATTTCGGGTTCGAACCGGGGCGTTAAAAAAAATTCGGGTTAGGGCCGGACCGGCAAAACTTTTTTAAAATAATTTCGGGCCGGGTTTGAAAAATAAGGCCCGATGCAGATGACTAGTTTGTACATCTATTAATTCGAGACTTGCGTAATATTATTTTGGCTAAAATCTTAATTTAAAATCGGTTAAATAAAGCTGTTTTTATATATTTTGGGAGGAGAAGGGGGCGGGAGGAATGCCGTAGGAATTTTTATTAAAT